AAAATATGAGACACTTTTTTAGCTGAGAGGATTGCTACAAGTTGAATCCGTTGATGCTGGTGTTGTTCATCAAGAGAAGATTTCAGGCATTACTGTTGGACAGCTCTGGGATTCTCCTGTCTACATTACTTATGTAAGATACTGTTATTACAACATTGCAACTCAAAATCTACAAAATTAAATCCAAAGGTAAAAGAGCTCCACCTTTTGCCAGATTATGGTATGGTTTTGCTATGTAAACTTGAGGATATTCTCAGTTTCTATTGCATTTACAGAATTTTACTATATCTTAGTTTGAGTAGAAGTACATGATTGTTCTAACTGAACTGCACTTGTTCAAATGCCTTTGCAACAGACCAAGCTATCATTTCTAGCATAGTGTTTTTCTTCTAACACGTTTTCAACCAATTAAGGTTTTTACTGGTGCTTGTAAGCAGTTAATACATTGACTTATAGTTGTTCTAACTGAGCCCACATGAAACTGTACTTGTTCAAATGCCTTTGTACCAGGCCAGGCTACCACTTTAGCAATCTAGAGCTTGTAAGCAGTTGATAATTTAGGTTCTACATTTATATGTAGGGTGAGGGTGATGCAGCCATTGCAGTCTGGGCCAGCTGCAGAGAGGATGGAATTTATCTCATGGATTCAATCAGCTCATACATTCTTGGGGGTATGTATACTCAAGCTTTCCAAAATTCTTTGTCAGGCCTCTGAATAGTTTTTACAGGACGAGGGATGCACCTGCTTACAATAAAAAAGTCCTTAATGGAAGACATCATTGTTTAACTCCACAAGTTTTCAATACAACGGAACAGCTGTTACTCAAAAAATGATTGAATTCAAAACTGTTCCTTGTTTTGATTACGTAATCCAAATTAAGTCTTTTCTTTCTTTGCATCACACCTCCATGACCAGAGTTTCTGGGCATGCCAAACTTTTTCCTGTCATAAATTCATTCATGGACATTTGTCTTTCCAAGCTTGACATTGGTCTGGCATTTAACTAAACACGACATGCTTTACAGCAGGCTGCTGTGTTATAACTTCCCTACTATAATTATCATAAGATATCAAATGAGAAATAGTGTATACTCCAAATGCAATGTATGTTTACTGCTGGGTGTTTGGTAGATTTTAAGTCTGTATTCTAGTTGCTTACAAAGATTCCAATCTGATGTGTAAATTATCTGTTGAAAGTAATTTAATTACACCATAGTGTCTGGAATAAAGCAGTTTCTAGAAAGTTCACTGACCCAACAATACAACTTTTAAATGTAAAGAGAGAGGTTAGTGATATAGCCTTCTGTACTGCTATACACAGGATCTTGTGTTGTTAAAGCAAACATGTCAAGTGATGGTCATTTTCTTGTTGTTCTGGATGACAAGGTAAATGTGTAGTGCCTGTTATAATGATCATCATACCACTCTGGGAAAATTTAATAGCTGGCTCCTGCCTAACCAAGAGATATTTTCAAATGTCTGTATACTTAAATAATTAAGCCCTAACTGGAAATCATTTCGAGAAAAGAAAACATGACTTGTTTAGCTCATCTGTTCCCACATCTGAACAAAGGGGGTAAGTTTCTAAAGAAACTGTGGTGCTGTGTTGGTGCGAGAGTCTAACAGGGTAATTTAGAATTATTAACTGAGTTGATAATGTAAATTGGCCCCTTCAAGCATTAGCCCTTCATCAGAGTGATATACAAAGAGCTAACCTTCAAAACTACAGCTTTAAAACTCTCTACAGTGTCCAATTTATGTTATCAATTTAGTTGATAATACTAAATTACCCTGTTGTACCCACCTCTGCAGACTAGATCATCTGTGTGCTGAGACATCAGCCTTAATTTTTGCAATTGTGCATACAGGCACAATAAACATGTGCATGCAGTTTTCCTTCACTTCAAAAATTTAATGATTAGTGGCTTCAAACAAACTGAAAAGGATCGTAGCCACAAACCCATCAAATGCCTGGCCTGTCACCTTCACTGGATCTGGTTTTAAGTCTGTTGATTGTCTGTAGTCTTATTCCTGGCTAATCCTTCTGGAGCATGCTTTCTTCTCTTTACTTGGAAGAATTGATCTTATTGCAATCTTAGGGCTGGCATTAAGGAAAGCTAAACATGCAGTCTATGAAAATTGTATTTTCTGGATTGTTTGGTGTGATTTCCAAAACAGTGCGCTTGCACTGTCTGTAAATGTTGCATTTGTTTGAAGCAAATTTAATAATGCCTAACCCCTAAGCCCAAACAATCTATTGATTCTTATTGCCTGGGGCAGCAAAGAGTTACCATGATTTTGAGTTACTTGTAATATGAATTCATGACATAAAAGTCATACATTTTGTAAGGATTTGTAATCTTACATGCATTGTTCATGTCTCTGTATCTTCTTTTTTTCTCCAGAATATGCTGAGCTTGTGGAATGTTTCATCTTTGACAATGATTGCATTCTGGCCTCATCTAAGCATAGATGACTTTCTATTATTGAGTTCCAGTAATATTCAAACTCCTGGGATGTCCAAGTATGTGCTGTTTTGATATCAGATCTTGTCAAGTCTTCCTTCACTTAAATCATTGAGCTCCTCATATTATTTATTTGGTTAGGATATATGTATCAGACTGGATAATGTTTCTGATGCATGAAGTGTAACAAGTCACTTCTGGATAATTGCATTAAAGATAATTTTCTTCTAGATTTTCTTAAGATCAAGTAGAGTACAGTAGAGACAGCTTTGCCACAAAGTGGATTTCTAGTTAGATAAACCTCTTAACTTAACCAGACTCTGAGCAAATTTTCTATTGAGGTTGATGAGTATTAGTCACATTTGCCATCAGTAGTCTGCAATAGTCTGGTTAAAGGTACTGATAAACTGCATTCACAGAAAACAAAAGATTCACTTGTTCCATTGTAGCAAACTTTGTTTGGTTTCTGTGGGGTGTAGTTCATACCTGAATAGTAACAGTTATTCATTCATACATACTGCATACCTATGTACCGAGTGATTGTTGTTTAACGCAGCTTTTGTGAACTGAGAACTACATTCATTTGGCAGAAGTGAGTTTGATCTCTATAAACTTGTGAACCAGAAGCTATCATTCTTTTCATATTTGCAGAAGTGATGATGAATACAAGCTTGTTGTGCTCACAACAGCAGAAAATCAGGTACTATTATGATTTCTTCCTAGGTCTTCCAGCTGTATCGGAATAACTGTAAGTATTGTGTCATAGTAAGGTTGGTAGTTGATGGGAAAGCATCAGATAAATGCAATTTTGTGCAAAAGCTGTCTGTTTGTGGTGAGACAACATGACAGGAAATTAAAAACAGAGGAAATAAATTAAGACTTGATTTGGAAAGAACAGGCGTCAGAGTAATTGCTGGTGCAAAAGCCTTTTTGCAACTATAGCTTCCTTATTACCATCTATTTGGTAATGCTCCAGCAAGGTACTAGACTTAGAAATGCTTAGGTGCATTTCTAGAAGGTAAATGAAATGACCCCTCTTTCTCATTGAACAGTAACCTAATTATTTACATATACTACATTTGTCAATTTTGCTTTACAGATGCGCTATCTTCAAGTATATACTTTTCCTACCATGAAGTCAGTGTATTCTCTGCAAGTTTCTGCATGCTCCCTATTAGCACAGTGTCCAACCAATCAGGTTTGAAATAGTTATATCTTTTTTCATGGTACTTTCTCAGGTGTTAAAGTGTTTATTTGCTTTTAGTGAAGACCCAAAAGACTGTTACAGCATATCTTATGTTTTTGTTAAAATAAATTTGTTATCAAACAAAATCTTACATTGTACTGCATTGTTGTTTGCAGGAGTCAATCTTTTTCATTGAGGGTATCTACCAAAACCCACATGAAAGGTAATCTGTTTTGAAAGGGGCTTTTGATTATCTAAGTCATGTAGCTTCATGTTTAAATACTGGTTGGTGAAAAACTAGTTGTTCGGGAGCGATAACGAAAATCTCCTAAATGCGACTAAACTGGAAAACACAAGCGATAACGAAAATCTCCCAAATGCTACTAAATGCTACTAAAACTGCGACTAAATCTGCTACTCAAAACTGCGACTAAAACTACGACAACACACACGCGAGAAATCGTAAGCGTAACTTGCTTACGACTGATGAACGTTAAATATCTCAGCGCGCGCGCTAATTGCACAACACGCTAGTCCGGTACTTTCCTCTTAACACTTTTGTGTAGTGTTTATGCTGAGTTTTTCAATAGACGTTTTTCAAATGTGAAGAATCACCAGTAATGTGACTGAGTGACATAGTTGTTTTCCCATTTCAGAACAAATGATGACAGACACATTTCTAGCATAAGAATCAGATCTCTTACGGAAGCTCTTCCTGAAAACAGGTAATGCGTAATCTTGTATAAGTTTCTCATTGAGTGATCATCTTGCATAAAATAGTGGTTCAGTTTAATTCAGTGAGTGCAACTAATTGAGGTTAAATTGTATCCACATATAAGAAACAAAGGTGATCTGCCCTAGAGAGAGGAGGGAAACATTATTTTCAGCACTTAAATACTCTGTGGACAGAAAATGTGCTTAGTATTTTTCTTTAAAAAAGACTAACAGGGTTTTTTTAACGTGCTGTGAGGAATGCTTTCTGTTCGCAAGAGGGACCAATAAGAGAGCTTAGTTGTATAGAAAGTTTCCTTGTTCTCAATAGATTGTCCAGACTGCTTCACAAGCAAAAGTTTGATGAAGCATTGCGGTTTGCAAAACAGTTTAATCTGGATATAGAGGTGAGATTT